GTCGAAACGGTAGTGACCCTCCCTCGGTTTTCGAGGGGGAGGGGGGGGGGGGAGGAGTTAGGGGAGGGGGGGGGGCTTGCCGGGGGAGGGGGTGGGGGGGGGTTCCAGCAGGGGGGGGGATTTTCGGAGGGGGGGGGGGGACCCTCGGGCTCCGGAGGAGAAGGGCGGCAATTTTCCACAGTAAAGCGGCGGTGGATCACGCTCTCTCTATTATGATGATGCTGATCCTGATGATGATGATGATGATGATGATGATGATGTTGAGGATGAGTTCCATAGTGATGGTGATGATGCTGATGCTGGTGATGATGATGATGCTGCTGCTGATGATGATGCTGATGCTGATGATGATGATGATGATGATGATGATGATGATGATGATGATGATGATGATGATGATGATGATGATGATGATGATGATGATGATGATGAGGATGGTAGTGGTGATAATGCTGGTGATGATACTGGTGGTGATGGTAATGGTGATGGTAATGGTGATGGTGTGTATGAGGTCGAGAAGGATGAGGAGAGGGGGGCGTCACATTTGACACCCTTCGTCTTCACTTTTCGACGAGTCCTCACGGACCTTGTTTGAGCTGTCTTGGGGCCGTGTTGGGATCACGTGGGGCAGTCTGGGGTGTCCCTCGGGGCCGTCGTGGGGCCGCCTTGGGCCGTCTTGGGTCCTTCCAGAGGCTCTTAAGGGCCAACTTCAGGCCTTCTTGGGTCCGTCCTGGGTGCCTCTTGGGCTGTCTTGAGGCCGTCTTGGAGGCCTCTTGGGAGATCTTGAGGCCCTCGTGAGCCGTGTTGAGGCAATCTTGGAGGCCTCTTGGAACGTTTGGAGCCGACGGAAGGCTCAAAAGGCGGGAATGCCTGCCAACAAATAACGGCAATCAATGATTTTGGCCTCTTGGGGCCCTGCTGGAGGCTCTCTTGGGCCTCTCGGGTAGTCCTGAGACCATCTAGGGCCGTCTTGAGGTCATCTTCGGCCGGCTTGGAGCGCTCTCGGGCCACCTTGGCGGCCTGGGAGGCTTGCCGTGGCCGTCTTGGAAGGGGCGACCCTCAGAGCATCTTACAGGAAGCCTACACGACAGCTCATGGGCACTCTAACACGCCGGTGGCGTGCGGGCACGGCGGAGAATTTTCCTCGCGCAAGCCATTGCGTCCATCGCGAGACCTGCTCGAGATCTCTGGCTGACTCTACAGGCTTACGCCACATCCGCCGACCCCTTCTGTGAGTGTTGCGAGGCCAGGAGTTTCTGGCCAGCGGCGTCTTGTGTGAGGGTGCGGTGTCGCTCGCGGGTGGTGGCAGATACGTAGGGGGTCCAAATGTTTGCGTGATGCCGGTGGTCTGGGGCGTGTTTTGCGAGCGCTTTGCGTGCTGTGCACCCGGGTGCGGGGTGTCCTTCTGGGAGGTCGGCCTTTCGACCCGCAACCAAGTGGAGGAGCACTGGAAGACGAAAGGAGCAAGAGTAGTGTGTGGAAGCTGTGATCAGCGAAGCATCACAGCGAAAGATGTGGCAGATGAATCGAAACGGGTGAAGAGGCTGTTGACGTTCGCAGCGCGCACGAAACAGTTCGCGCGGCAGCAGCACATTAGCGCCGAGCAAGATAGTGAGCACGTCGCGAGGAAGAGTAAGGTTGTATGCGCGGAGTGCATTGCAGTTGGCGTGACGGCTCGCAATACGGAAGCGTCTGGGGGTCTTTTGGGGGCCTCCTGGGGGCCTCTTGTGGGCTCCTTGGGGCGTCTTGGCGGTTTCTTGAAGGCCGTTGGCGGCCTGTTGGGGCACTGTTGGGCCCCCCTGGGGCTCGTGGGGGCGGAAAGCTAGATTTTTGAATTGTTGGTTGCCCTCTTGGGCCCCTCTTGGTGCCGTCTTGGAGCCTTCTTGGGCCGTTTTGGGGACCTCTTGGGCCGTCTTGGGGCCATATTGGACCGTCGCGGGGCCGTCTTGGGGGCCTCTTGGGCCGTCTTGGGGCGGTTTTCGGGGCCTCTTGGGCCGTCTAGGAGCGTCGGAAAGCCCAGAAGGCGGATGTGTGAACATTGTACGTTTCACGACGGGAATACGTACATGTCTGCGTCCAGGGACCGTCTTGGGACGCATCTTGGGGGCCTCTCAGGGGCGTGTTGGGCCATCTGGAGGCCATTTCGGGTGTCTTCGATCGCTCTTGGACCGTGTGGGACCATGTTGAGCTCTCTTGGAAGCCACTTGGAGCGCTCTTGGGGCCGTCATCGGGGCTCTCTTGGGCCGTCTTCGGCGCCGCTTGAGCCGTCTTAGCGCCTTCTTGGGCTGTCTTGGGGCCCTCTTGGAGGCTTCTTGGGCCGTCTTGGGGCGGTCTTGGGGGCCTCTTGGGCCGTCTGGGAGCGTCGGAAAGCCCGAAAGGCGAATTTGTGAAAAACGCACGCTTTACGAAGGGAACGGGCTAATTTTTGCGTCTAGAGGCCCTCTTGGGACGCATCTTGGATGCCTCTTGGGGCCTCTTGGGGGCATCTTGGGCCGTCAGGAGGCCATCTTCGGTGTCTTTGATCGCTCTTGGGCTGTCTGGGACCATATTGAGCTCTCTTGGAGGCCACTTGGGGCGCTCCTGGAGCGCTCTTGGGGCCCTTTTCGGGGCCCTGTTGGGCCGTCTTGGACGCTTGTTGGGCCGTCTTGGGGCCCTCTTGGGCTATCTTGGGGCCCTCTTGGAGGTTTCTTGGGCCGTCTTGGGGCGGTCTTCGGGGCCTCTTGGGCCGTCTTGGAGCGTCGGAAAGCCCAGAAAGCGAATTTGTGAAAATTATACGTTTTACGAAGGGAATGGGCCAATTTTTGCGTCTAGGGACCCTCTTGGGACGCATCTTGGAGGCCTCTTGGGGCCTCGTGGGGACCTCTTGGGCCGTCTTGGAGGCCTCTAGGCTCGTCTTGGGGCCATCTTGGGCGTGTGGGAGCGCTCGTTTGGCGTCTCGGGGCCCTCGTGGGCCGTCTTGGAGGCCTCTTGGAGCCTTCTGGGCCCGTCTTGATCCCCTTTTGGGCCCAAAAGAGCCCCGTGACGCGCTCGTACTGGGCCCGGGGGGGGGGGTCAAATCTCCGGTTTGGGGTCCCCAGGGGGGGGATTATGGGGGGGGGAACTATCTCACACGCCTAGAGACCCACAAGGGGTCGGCGGATTTGAGCGACGTAGCTCTACTGAGCAACAGGGCATCAGGCTTGGAATAGAGCCTGGCTGGTGCATCAGCCCAAGAACAGACAAATTCGCAGAAGCGGCGCCAATTGCCGCGCCACATACAAGAATAGCAATGACACATACGGATGTCGTCCTCATAGGCACCAGGGTTGGTGTGGAGGTGGGGAACGTATAAGTGCCCGTCTCCCCAGGGGCCTGCACGGGGGCCGAGGTACAAGGTGGGTGCAAGATCCAGGCGGGTGGGGACTCCGAAGGAGGAAACAATTCAGGAAGGAAATTTACACACTGACACAGCGAATCGTCGATTCCGATGAACATGTGGGAACATGTTGGGCATGGAGGGGGGGACGAAACTCCAGGAGGTACGCGACAAGACGCGGGATCCTGGACCATATGTGTGTTGATTGGTGTCTCCCTGGGCCCCCCTGGAATGATCCCGTCGAGCCGGCGGGGGGGGGCGGAACACGCGGAGCGTATGAGGAGAAGTGGCTCCTGGGGCGCGGAGGGGTCAGAGGGGCCAGAGGGGGCAGGGCGCACAGTACCACGCCCTGCCTGTCCCCCTGAAGCTGCAGGTCCCGCCCTGCATGTTCCAGTGAAAAGCAATATTGGCGAGAAGCAGTATTGGCGCTGGCGGCGGCGGGGGGGGGGGGACGTGAAGGAGGAGCAAGGGGAGGAGGAGGAGGAGGAGGAGGAGGAGGAGGAGGAGGAGGAGAAGGACCAGTGTAAACCCAAGAGTCATCAACGATGTCGGAATTAACCCTCCCTCCAAGCTCCCTCCTCAAAGGCCCCTACAACGGTTTATTTCCATTGAGGGAACCGTTTGAAGATCCTGAAGCATGCCAAAACATTGTTCTCGGGATTTCAACGCCACGTATCAACCTGACTGCTGCGTTTCGGCGATGCGGAATCGTGCCATAGCGCCATGTTTTGAATTTCAGCACCGCGAATCACATACGTAACTGTTGCGCCCGCATAATTCAGAATCCTTCCAAAACGTAGTTTCTGGTACGTTGATCATGGGAGTCCGTGAAACTCTTGCAAAGTTTCGAAACGAATGTGCACGGTGCTAGGGCGAGAGCCACATTTTGAAAAGGAGCCGGCTTCAATCCGTGAAACCCTTGCAGTCTGTTTACAAACAACGTGCGTGGCGTTAAGGAACGACCCGCCCTCAATCCGTGAAGCTCTTGCAATTTTATAAAACGAATGCGCGCGGCGCTAAGGCGAGAGCCACATTTTGAAAAGGAGCCGGCTTCAATCCGTGAAACTCTTGCATTCTGTTTTGCAAAAAAAAGTGCGCGGCGCTCAGGCGAGAGCCACATTTTGAAAACCACCCGCCCTTAATCCGATAAGCTCTTGTAATTTTTTGTAACGAATGTGCGCGGCGCTCAGGCGAGAGCCACATTTTGAAAACCACCCGATTTCAATCCGTGAAACTCTTACACTTCTTCACAAAGAATGTGCGCGGCGCTCAGGCGAGAACAACATTTTGAGAACGATCCGCCCTCAATCCGTGAAGCTCTTGCAATTGTTCAAAACGCATGTGCGCGGCGCTCAGGCGAGAGCCACATTTTGAAAACCACCCGCCCTCAATCTGGGAAGCTACTGCCCCTTTGTAAGTTTCAGAGTCATCAAGTGGTGAGGAAGTCTCAGGTGACACGCCCGGCCCGTCCTAGAAATTGGCCTCAGGATGCGACAGGGAGGAGTTATCTAGAAGTAGAAGGAATGGAGGAGGATGAGGAGGAGGAGGACGAGGAGGAGGAGGAGGAGGAGGAGGAGGCGACGTAGGAAAAGGAGGGTGAGCAGCAGCACGGGAGGAGGAGGAGGAGGAGGAGGAGGAGGAGGAGGAGGAGCAATTTTTTCAGGATCCGGGTCCCCCAGAGGACGTCCTGGCGCGCTCCGCTCCCGCGTGCCCGGGCCTGGTGGTCGGCACGGGCGCTGCTGCTGCGAGCGCCGCCGTCGCATGCCTTGCGCGCCTTCTCGGCGGCACCTGTCCCGCCGGCAGCGTCGTCTTCGGCAGCACCGCTGTCTTCGGCTGGGGCGCCCGGCGCTGCCGCGCCCTCCGCCGCCGCAGCGGCGGCCGCCTCTGCAGATGCTGTTGCAACCAGCGTGGCGGTGCGAGGCGCGGCGCTGCACCGCGCGGCTGGTGCGAGGTTCGCCGGGGCGCTGGGCGCAACGCGACCAGCGCGCGGTGCTGCCAGCGTCGCGGCGCCGGCGGCCACACCACCTCCGGCCAGGCGCGCGGATGCTGCGGGTGCAGCGCGCGGCGCGGTGCCGCCGGCCACGGCGGCGGTGTCCGCAGCAGCACCGGCATCCTCGGCGTCTGGAGCCTGCCGCGTCTCGCTGGCGCTCGCGCAGGCCGCGCCGGCAGTCGCGGAGGCATTGCTCACAGCATGACGAGCGAACAACACGCGCCCATACCCACAGGGGGGACGGAGGGGGCAGTGGGTGCGTGTTGTCGGAGGGGTGTCCCCGCCCGAATGGGAGCTTCTCCCAGGGTCGGACAACCCGCACCCATACCCATAGCCAGTCTTCCTCCCTCCGACCCTCCTATGGGTATTGGTGTGTGTGTGTGTGTTGCTTGCTCGTCCCAGCAGCCAGCGCGTCCACAGCGGCGCCGGAGCTCGCGCCCGACGGGCAGGCGTCGCCAGCACAGAGCGGAGAGGCGCAGGTGTTCGAGCCGCTTCGCGGGGGGCAGGGCCAGACAGGCTGTGTTCCGTCCGCTCGTGGGCCGTCTTTGGAGACCTCTTGGGGCTGGGCTGGGGGGGTTGGCATCGCTCGGACGTGTGCATCGCTCGTCGGCGAAAAGTGTACGCGTGAAGCCGCAAATGTACGGGGAATGGGCGTCCGAGCGATGACGAGCGGGGCGGCCATCCTGGGCCGTCTCGGGGCCCTCGGGGGGGGCCCACCGAGGACCTCCGCCGCGCGATCCTGGCGCACCTCTGGACGTCGTGATGGCTTGAGCGCGGCCGCGCGCGGAACTGTGCCGTGCGACCTCGGCTTCCGCGCGCCGCCTCTGAAGATGGCAGGCTGGAGCTCAGAGGAGGATGCACCAGTATCGCTACCCTTAGATCGTATTTCCCTTTTTGCCCCCCCCTGCACGGGGGGCCCTCGTCGCCACGGCCAGATTCGCCTCGCATAATCCTGGTCAGAGCGCACCGCGGGAGGGGTTTTATGGGAGCAGCGGTGTCCGTGCTTCGGTCAAGAGCAGACCAGAGCCAGCGCGCCCGATGCCCGCCCCTGGAAAGCTTGCGACCATCTAGCGAAGCCCGACCCCGCCAGTCAGATCGGCGCTCTGTCTGGGGGTCCGCTTGACCGCGCGCGTCCCTCGGAGTGTACAGTCAACCCGCATAGTACGGATGATCGACTTCCACAAAGGTACACTTGCATCGTTGCCTCTTCGGCCAGCTTCGGTCCGTCCTCAACCACTTGCGATTGCCAGCCCCGCCCGAAGAGCGTCGGCATTGGCGTCCAAGGCCCTTGCATCCTTTCCGCGCATCCTTATGATACGGGTTGACTGTAGCCCCCCTTCTGGCCCTTCAAGAGTCCTGCCCTGCAGGGGTAGGGCGGCTCGCATGCGGTTTTGCCCCAGACTTCCCCCCCGCGCAAGCAGCCCCGCAGCCGCCGTTGGCGAACGGCGCTGGGCGAAGAGCCCGCGCGCCGCTGGGCAAAGGGCTCATTCTGAGGCGGGAATGTATACATGACCACCGCCTGGAGGATCAATTTTCGGGGACCTCGCATGCGGTGGATACGGATATGGATATGGATATGGATATGGATATGGATATGGATACATATATATATATATATATATATATATATATATGGTAAGCCCCGCCCCTGTGATCTACCTCACGCTTTTCCGTTTGTTGGTTTCTTGTTCCTCTCTCTCTCTCTTTATCCTCGTCTGTCTCTCATTCTCTCTCTCTCTCTCGCTCTTTCTCTTCTGTGATCCATATACGGTTGTCTTTTGTCACCACAAAAGGATTCCGATTGTAATCCTTCACGAAAGGATTTCTAACTGTGCTCGGGGGGAGCATGCGCGATTCGCATCATGGGGGGAGGCCGCGGCCCCATGAAGCGATTCCCGCATGCTCGGGGGGAGCATGCGGGATTCGCTTCATGGAGGGGAACATCCACTTTCCAACTACCTCAGAAAAATGTTTTTTTTGTTTGTTGATTGTTTTTTTGTTCCGCGCCTTCGTTTTTTTGCTGTCCAGGCACAGGGAATCTCTGATTCCAAGATTTCTAAAACATTGATTTGTTGTTCGCCGCATTGGTTTTTCCTGTCTTGGCGCAGGGAAGCTCAAGGCCGGCCAATCTATTCCCATGGAGCCGAATCGCGAA